AGCAGTTACTTGTCTCCCTGGTGTTTTAGATTGGCAAGTCTTGGTTTTGTTTGGCAGTTCCTAGGAAGTGTCAGTGCTGGTAGGCTGTAAAAAGCAAAGCACATGCACACTTTGGGTGGGGTGGAGAGAGATGACATGAGTTTGGGATTAGATCCTCCACCCCCTGCCACTCCTTCAGTGAAGAACTGGGAGAAATGTTCTGCATGTGTGATAGCTTTACACTTCTAATCTAGTGGCATAAGACTATTACTTTTAACCTTTAAACATAAAAAAAGAAAGGCATTTTCTTTTGAATTCTAGGAGGAGCAACTTTGCCATAGAAGTTTATTATCTCTCCTTGAGAGTTTTTATTGGTGGAGGTTGGGAAGAGCTGTAGTGTCCTGCCCTGAGAGGCTGGTTGCTCTTCTCAGTGCAGAAGGTAATTCTTCCCACATGTTTCAAACTACAGGAGAGATTTGTGGTCTGATTACCTTCTTTGTTAGCTTTTACCAACATGCTTTGATTACACATGGCTGATTATGAAGGTTCTAGAAAACTATAGATGGATATAAACAGTCTCTGTTCATAGTGAAAATCACGGTAAATCACGCAAATAAAGGCCACAGGTTTTATTTATTTCAAATAATACAACTCAGGTGAGTTTTTTTGGTGCAAGATATTGAGGAAGTAATCACAAATTAGCAATTGGCTAAAGGTTTCCATTCCCTTGAAGTTGCTTATCTGTAACTGTAAACTGCCTAAATCTGGGGTGTTGTGAGGAAAGGATTTAAAGCAGAAGTAGGTTCACTCCAGTGACACTGCACCTGGGAATACCAAGACCTGGAGAATATTAGTGTGGGAAACCATATATTATTCCTTATATAAACCATATATTATTCCTATATATAAAGAGTTAGAAACAGCACATGGCTGATCTCTTACAGCCGAATGCAGTCAGTGCTCATTTACATCTCATTTTGGCTGTGCCTTTGCTAATACATTTCCCAGTTTTTAATAAAGCTGAAAAATTGTGATTTTAATCCTCCATGTTTGAATTTCTTATGTGCATTGACAGTCTAATCTCTCAAGGTGGAAGAAGCTGATGCTTCTCTCTAATGCCTTCTTCAGTCACATCTGTCTTGCTTCCTTGGAAGTTGTCACATGGTTCTCATTGATTGCAGAGGAGAGGGAAAAATATAATTATGCCCAGGTGCATTTGGTTACATCATTTTTTTTTCCCCCTGAAACAGACCTTGATTTACTGGTGAATTTAGCTATAAATGGTATTAAAACTAGTACACGCTAAATCTTACATAAACTGGTCTGTGGAATAAGGCACAACTGGTGTTTGTGGGAAGCAGTGGTGTGCAGCTTTGGAAAATGCCACAAACCATTGTTGGGTTTTTCAATAATTTGGCTTCAGAGAGTGTTTTAGAGTATTTAATTTCTCATCATTATATTTAACACTTAGGATATTTATTTCCTACTTCTAAATGTTTGTTTTAGCTGATGATGGTTTAAAAAATCTAGTTGAAGTTTCCTTAAGCTTCTTTTTTTTGTTGTTGTTAATTGCCAACAGTAAGAAAATGGGCAACATTAAAGCCTTGTGTTCACTATCCACTTAAAGTTGTGAATGTGTGAAAGTACAACAGGCTTATGCTAATTTCATATCCTTCCTAAAAGCATGAAAGCTTAATTATTTTCTTTCAAAGGTGTTTTTAAAACAAAGACATCTTCTATTCTGACTTTATTGGATATACAGCTGGGAAGTAGCTTAGCAGCTGGCAAATGGAATTGTAAAAGGGAAGGAGCTTTTATTATTTATCTGCAAAGCAGTGAAAATATACACACACACAACACAAAGATGTGCTGCCAGAGCTGCTGCTGCCTGCCAAAGCAGTGCCAGAGGCTGTGCTGCCTTAGATGCTTAGGGAGGCTACATTGTTGGGGTTTGGGGGGGTTAAGAAAATTAAATTGGGAGTCAGCAAGCAGCAGGAAGGAAGGAAGGAAGTGGGGCAGATCCCAGTCCACCTCTGCATGCAGCTTCTACAGCCACTTTTAGGGAACTTCTTTACCCTTTGTTCCAGTGAATAATTGCTGTGCTTTGCACAGGGGTGTTCTCTGACCCTGGACAGCTGTGCTTGCACCAGGACAAGGTTTCAGTTTTGAGGCTGTGTGATTCCTTTTGGCTTAAAGATCAGCAAACCAGGTTCAGGACACAGGGCAGTGTGTAGGCAGAGTAGTTCATAGTCCTGCCTCTGCCCAGTCCCCTCCTATACAGGTGAGAAGAGTTGCTCAGGTACAGTTAAAAACTGTGGCTGCTACTGATAACACCTCCCTTGTGTGTGAAAGGAAGTAAAAACTCCCTGAATATAATTTTATGGAAGACAAAGGAGGGGAAAAAAAAAAAGCTAATTTAGGTATTTGAAATAGTGAATACCTTGTCATTTCTAGGCACAGTTATTTGATGTTGTAAATCTTTGTGCTAACAGGAAGCTTGATGAGATAATGACTTGCTACAATAATCTTTTGGAGTTAAAATCCTGGCTTTAATTATAACTTGGCTCACATAGGAAAGACTTCATTGCCTTCTAAACTCTGCCAGGCATCTGTCTGTGCCACCAGTCAGCCACTGGCTTTGGCACAACTGGCTGTGCTTGATCAAGAGGCAGGAGTGATATCAGGACATGAGCAAGACCACTTGGGCAGTCCCTGCTCTGCTTTACTGCCATAGTTTTGTTATCTCTTCATCATCTCTTCTTCTAAATGGGGTGGGGGGAAGAGATCTGCCCCCTTGCCATGTCTGGCTTGGATTAGCACCTCTCTGGTGCCAATCAGATCAATAGATAGCAGCAGTCCTGACACTGCTTCACTGAGCTGAAAGTTTTAGGGCCCCGTCTGTACAAAAAAAGTGGATACGTTTTGATTCACAAGAAAGAAGCTGGAAAAGGGGAGGAAAAACCTCCTTATAATTTCACCTTGCCCAGATCTTTTGGGAGGGTAATAGTGAGAATGGAATAAGGGGAGCAGGGACAGCCCACTCTAGTACCAGGTCATATTTTCCTGCAGCAATCGCATTCCATTCCTCAAGGAATTGGTAACACTGTCTGGACATTCCCCTGGTTTGCAGCAGTGGAGCTTGGAAGGAACCAGATTTGAAGTGTGGGCAGAAAAAGGTCACTTTTGATATAACCAGACTTGGCTTTTCACCTCAAATGTCACGAGTGTGTGTGAAAGCTGGAGGGAAACCTCACAGCCCTCAGGCCTCCCAGGAATCTTTAGCCTGTGCCTCCTTCCCACTCCTAAGGGAAGAAAACACCTCTCTAATCCTCTGGAGCAGCAGGGCACAGGGTCACCAGGTGCTTTGAGCTGTTCAGCTTTGTGGCCATGCCCTCCTTCTGGAGATGGTGCTGCCCTCCCTCAGAGAGCAGGACTGTTATGCCCTTTTTAGACTTCTCAGGGCTATTTCAGTCTGTGCTCCTCTCTAGAGCTTAAATGGGTTTATGGGACAAGATCTGACCCTGAGTCTGCTTCTGCTGCTGGGGTGGAGGGGTTGGTTGTGCCCTGTCAGTCCATCTGGCAGGTGCTGGGCTTCCAGCAAGTCCCTGGGTTTGTTTTCTTCAAAAGAAAAACCCTTCACTCAGTGGTTTTCCTCTGGGCTGCACAGTGTGGGATAGGCTGTGAGAACTGCAGAGCAGGGTGCCCAGAGATGTGAGGGGACAGATTCCTATGCACATGGGGGTCCCAAACTCACCAAAACCTCTTGGTCTCTGAAGTTGCAGCACAGTTATAGTTCATGCAGTTTTATATGGATATTTCTGGGCTACTGGTTAATCTCCACGTGTGTTCAAAAATAAAATTCTAGGGGGTCTTTCTTTTTCCTTTTTCTCTTCCCAAGCAAATATATTTAGGAATATAGGCCTAATCCTGCTATTTAAAGTTGGGGAGAGCAGAATTAGAGGCTTGATAGTATGAGCACAGCTGATGAATCTGCATATCAATGCAGGTTTTTTTTGTAGTGGGGTTTTTTTCCAGTCTGCTTTATGTTACTTAATGACAGTAAATATCCCTTAAAGTCAAGGGCTCTTCCATTTCAATATTAAAAGGAGCTTCTCCACTGATACTTTTGTTTTTATGAAGATGTTGTAAAGGACCATTGTAAATTCCAGCTGGTACCTATAAATATTTATTTCTCTACCCATATGCATAACTGCCTCTGTGCAGTAAATATGCAGCTACACAAAAAGACATTAATTTTTTAAGTTTTTCGTGGTGCAAGCTAAGCAGCTTCCAGGCTGAGTGACAATGACTGTAGATAGAACAACTTGAGGCATCCATATAGCTTCACCACAGCCTTGCCAGTAACATCAGTTCCTTTAATTGTTTTAAAATAGGTTTCAGTGGCAAAAACAATTATATAAAGACCACTTGTTATTGAGAAAACATCCACTATTTGTAGAATTCTTACATTAGGAATCAGAGTGGGCTAAAGTAGAATTTTTAAAGATGCTTATTTTTAACAGTTGCTGTTCAGTCACCACTGGAGATCTGTTGTTTGGACTCTGTGTAAAGTAAGGAATGGCAAAGGTCAGGTGCTCATCAGCTGGTGTTAGTGGCCATTTTAGCACTGGCCATTTCACAGCATTCCTGCTGCTCCCTTCAGACCCTTTACAGCCTGAAGCTTAGAACCACTGTGATCTCTGTAAAGCAGAGACAAAAGTAATGTGACTGTGTGGGTTGTACTCGCTGTGAGAGGACATCTCACTGCCCTTCAGACACAGCAAACTCCACACTTCCATCCTCCAGGGAGGCTCTTAATTACACTCCACCTTGAAGGCACACGGAGTGCTGAGCGTGGGATTTTAAGAACCCCATGAAAATGTGGTTTCCCACAGGTTTGATGAAGTTCCTCTTTAAGGGGGTGTGTGCACGTGGCTGCATTGCTGGTACAGGCCGGACAGCAGGGGTCTGTGGCTCCCAGTGGGGCCAGGATTGCTAAAGGCTGCCGTGTGTCGTTGCAGGTGCGACGAGTACGTCACGCAGCTGGACGAAATGCAGCGGCAACTGGCGGCGGCCGAGGATGAGAAGAAGACTCTGAACTCCTTGCTGCGGATGGCTATCCAGCAGAAACTGGCCCTGACCCAGCGCCTGGAACACTTGGAGCTGGACCACGAGCAGTCCAAGAGGGTGCGCACAAAATCCGCCTCCAAAGCCAAGGGCAGTAACCCCAGCGTAAGTCACGTTCGGTCCTGCGGAGACAGGCCTGAAGGGTCCGTCCTCAACAACCAGGTGTTCTATAGTGAGAAATATAAGATCTATTGTGACTAGGACAGGTGTCTAGAAAATAAAAATCATATTCTGCATCCTTTTTTATGCTGTAACTGTCAGCATAAATCCCCACTATCTAACGTCGCAGTGAGTTGACTTGTACTAGTATGTTGTGGAACCAGGTAATACTGACTGTATTATGGTGTTCTTAACTGTAACTAATGCATAAGTATGGGGATGCTATTAACAGGTTAATAGTGGAAAGGAACTAGCTTTTTCCACAATTAACATGTCTGGGTTTTGCTGTTTATGGTAAGTGTTAAGAGTACACCTGATGGAGTATATCCGGTGTTGCTAATTGTAGTTTGTATAGCACAAATGTGATCCTTTCTCCAGGGTTGCAGCATACTTCAGTAAATGCTTTCACAGGCAGAAACAAACAGAAAACCTTCCTTGTTATTGTGGCTTATGAAGTGGTGAAAAGCAAACATCAAAATTAGAGAGTATTTGGAAACTGGAATCAAACAATTTGCCTGTTGTGAGAGATGTTAAAAACTTGCCGTTGTATCACCACTGACCAAAGTCCTAAAGCTTTTATAGGCTATAAAAGCTAGAAAAACACTTGGTAGGGTACATTATTTATGCCCTGTTTCCCTCTCTTCAGAGGGATAACCAGAAGAAACTTGCACATTTATATTAAAAATATGCAATATTTTCCCCATCTGATATAAAACTTAAAAGGTTTAAGATTTGGGATCCTACCTGGTACACAGTTCCACTTGAAGAAATTATGTCTCAAAAGGACCTTTGTGGTTTCATGTTGCTCTTCACAAGCATAACACTTTGGAAAGAACCTGTTTGAGGTATCACTGTAGCCACACAACATGTATGTGTAGGATTGATGTGACTATGGTCTAGCGTTGTTGGTCACAAACAGCTTTCAGTATTAACCTAAATAGGTAACATTGCAGAGCTCTGATCATTTTTTTAAAGGTACACAGAAGATATTGCATTCTGTATGCAAGCACGTGTTTCACAGGGCTCTACATTAGAGGCACAGGAAATTGAACCAGATCATCCTGCTAATAATGATTTATGAAGTAGCTTAGTATACATATTAATCTTTAAAAACAAATAAACCTTTGTCTGCTTTTGAACTGCTAAGGGGCCTTTTTAGCCACTTAATTACAATAAGTTTGGTAGTCTAAAAGTGTACTTCGTAATTGGTGCCTACATAAGAGAAAAAAAGATTGAAAACGTTGCTTCTAAAATTGTGGAAAATTTGTGGAGCGCCCTGCAAGGCACAGATCTTTGTTTAACCCGGAGTTTCCAAGTGCCTAGCCTCAGACTCTATTTTAATGTAAAGCCCTGTTCATTTTGTACTCTGTTTCAAAGACTTTTGTATGCCTGTAGTGTTACTAAAAAGCAGTCCCTGAAGCCATCCTAACCCTCTGCTGTGGTTCTGCTCCTCTCCCCCGGCCCTGTAGATGCTCAGCCCTTGCTCCCACGCTGCCTCTGCCTAGTCAGGAGACATCCCAGTGCTAACAGAAGGTAATAAACAGCACAGCTGCTTTTCCCACCTGAGATTTTGACTTCCCAGATATTTCAGGGTATTGAGGGGGGGGGAGAAGTCTTCTAGAAATTCATACAGTGAGACTTCAAACAAATGGAACTTTGCTACAAAGCTGGGAACCGTGGGAATGCCACCACCCAGAGCCAGAATTGTATTTATTGATACGGAGAGGAGGGAAAAAAACCCAAGTGATTCAGTTCTGATATGTTGCTCAAACATCACTGCTTGGGAAGTTTAAACAAACTGCAATTCTGGGTTTAGAAACTAGGCCCTGTGTGTCTGTTATTACTTTTTTTAGAAAACACTGAATTCTCCTGAATTTGAGCTTTAATATTGCTAAATAGCAGGTTTGATATTTTAGAAGAGGCATCTTTTACAATTTTCAATCCTGCTTTTCTCTTCTTTGCTGCACAATCTTCCAAAAGGCCTTTATTCTTCTCATTCCTGCATTAAGTACATTTTAAAAATACTTGGTGAAAGCAGGTGTTTGAGTGCTAACCTTCTCTGCTTCAGTAGACACAGCTACAATTCTGCTTCCGCTATGGTAGGGAGCTTTAAAACAGTTTTCACTGCTTCCATGTCTCTAATGACAGTATTTTTGCAAAATAATGATGGCAAAAAGATAAACTGGAGAATGCATTGTTAGGTTGCATAATTGAATGCATTGTTAGGGTGGTTTTTTTTTTCAAATTACCTGGAATTTTCTGTAAAGATTTCGGTGTTACCAGATAGGTGACTATTGCTGTCAGACTTGGCTCATTCTTTCAGTTCCAAGTATGAACAATTCTGCTATTAGCCCAGTAATCTTAGTGGTCCTTTCCACCTTCAGTCATTTCTGTGAATCTTTTAAAACCCACAAAAGCCAGCCTGACTACCCTTCGAGTCTGTCACCATTATGGTTCATCCTGTTGGGAAAAGAACTGAGGGACAGTGTAAAGTGACTTGATCCTGCTGTTTGTGTTTTTAGAGAATATTTAAGACTGAGTCTTTTAATTCTTGATTTAATTTTTTTTTGGGACATTCATTTGCCGTGTAAGTCTTTCCTGTCAGTCTTAATGGGTTGGGATAAAGCATGGAAAATTCCTTAAGCCATCACCTACCTCTGCAAGCAGGCTCTTCTGGATGGTTCTCTGCATAGGCCTGCATGACACACTGACCTGCATGTTTCTGGAGAACCTAAAGCTTCACTGAAAACATTTCCTGTGCACCCATAGCTGTTAACTCGTGCTTGAACAGCAAAGCTTTATTCAGTACTTGTAAGAATCCTTCTTTCTGCAAAGCTGTTGCTTCCAGGCTGAGCCCATAGAGCCTTGTTCACCCAGCTGGGAAGGTGGCCTGGCTGCTGCTCCCCCAGCCAGCTAACAGACCCCCAACCAACTAACCTGCACATAGGTTTGTGTTTTCAGTTCTTTTAATTGAGAAATAAACACTGATATTTTTTTTTTTCTAATGCTATTTTATTTTTCCATTTTTCAGCTGTAGAGTAGTCCCTGGAGAAGGCCTTTCCAACAGTGCAACAGCATTTCTTAGCCTTCCTCACTCTGGTTCAAAGTGGTGGCCCATTGCAGAGTGGAAACCACTGCCCTGATCCTAACTTTTGAAAACACCTTTTCCTATATACTACCTGAAACCTTCCCTTTCTGCCTGAAGCTATGAAAAAAACAAGCTTTACTTATAAGTGCTGCTGCAGTAAGAAACCTTACAAGTGCTGAAGAAACCTACTTCAAATGTAACCATGTTAGTGTGTGCTCTCCTAGAAATGTCGGATGGGGGAATTTATTTCATTGCAGATGCTCATTTTTTTTTTACCTGATTGTTAAACCTGTGCACTTTTGATATTTTTCTTTAGCTTCTTTAATTCCTTATGTAGAAGAGTTTATATAAATGCAGTGGTTTGTGCTCATAGTCTCTCTCCAATTTGGAACTTGTGATTTATGAATTATATATCAGCATGTGGCAGAGATTTTGGGGGGGCTCTAGATTGTGATTAGAAAAGAGTTTCAACAAAAAAACAGGAGCTCTGCTAAACTATGTGCTGTGCTTCAGCATCTTTTTTTATTATTATAAAATGTTAAGCTTTATATGTTTAAATTACTGATTTTCTTTTTAACTGCCATGTTCATTAAGAAATCCAGGGTATTCAAATTCTGGGGTTTTTTTCATATTGTATTATTATTCTTAGGAATAGTTCAATGTAACAAGAAGAAAACTTGACTTTGTTCTGGTTAAAACAGTAATAGGCACTTGAAAAATATTAAATAAGTAGTATTACCTATAAATTCCAGAATTCCTGGGTTTTAGGAAGTTGAGGTATTATTGATTAACAGAATTTTATACAACTATACCAGTGAAATTCCAAATTGGAATTGTTGTGTTACTTTTTTCATTTTATTGTGCCAAATTGTGGTACATTTAGAAAGAAAAATTCTGAAGTGGTCAATGATAGGGTGTTATCTATCAGCGCCTTTCTGTCACTCATTATTGCCAGTAGTGCCTTTGATCATTTGAAGGGAGACTCTTAGAGTAGTGTTTGGGCCAAGTCCTGTCACTTAGGAGGAGTGGAATGGCTGGGTTTGGAATTTACTGAAGACGTGGAGCAATAAGTGCAAAGTGAACTCCCCTTTCGCACATTTTTAACGGTAGTCTTGCTTAGAGAGAGATTATATATTCGAGGAATTGTAAAAAATTCTGTTAGTCAATGATATTTCACCGTGCAAATTCAGGGGTAGAGACAAACAAACAAACAGACAAACAAAAACCACAAAGCTAAACGAGCCCGACCCCAGGTCGGGAACCAAATGGGCTCACGTTGGAGAGCTGAGAGATGCAGGGGCACAGCCCCGGGCGGATCCCGGCGGTCGCGATCCCGGCGGTCCCGGAGCCCGGCGGTCCCGGAGCCCGGCGGTCCCGGCACATCCACACCTCCTCTTGCATGTTGTACCCAAGTGTGATTTCAGCAAACAGAAAGCGCATCAACCAGCCCCTTGCTGGGCTTGTTGAGGCTCCTGGGAATGATTAAATTGGGACCTGGGCTGGAGGGGGAGGGAGTTCTCCCGCTCCTCAAATAAAAAAAAAAAATAATAAAAAAGGACAAATTGAACCAATATTGATGGCGTGGAAGAGATTTCTGTTTGCTGGAAAAAGCATTATTATTCCTAGATGTGGGGACTTATATTTCCATCTTCTGTTACAGTATTGATTCATAAGAAATATTGTTGCATTTAAAATTACTACATTTGTATGTGGGTATTTATTTGAAATGATGTCAAAGTACTGTATTATGTTCTATGTGCATTACCTTTTAGTGGTGGGTTGGTCTCCATTTAACGTCGTATGCATGTAATCTTGCCAAGTAACCTTTACACAGACCTGAGGGAAAAAAAAAAAAGTTAAAGAGAAAATGTGAGAACTTCTTAAAAGGATAACTGCCTGTTAATTGGATAACCTTAGGAGGGGGTAGAGGGCAAAAAAACGTTGCTTCCAGATTAATGAAACAGTGTTTAATGTAGGAAGGCAATGTGCCTGCGTAAAGGTGGTCACATTGGCAGGAGCAATAAAAGAGAAAAGGAATTGTGTGTTCTGCCTCTTGGTTTTGTGGTTTAAGTCGTCTGCCAAAGTGATTTTCAGCGTGAGGCCAAATATACAGCGATTTTTGTCTGGGAGAAGCTGGGTACTTTGCATGAAGTTTGCTGCAGAGCTGGAAAATTAATTCTTTGTGCTCATATTCAGGGAGAAGCATCCCCTATTGTTCCGTGAGGTCTTCCTGGATTATTTTTGGCCTGGCTCAGGCTGTTTTAATGTGTGTCACTGAATAGCTTTGCAAACACGTACCTGGTGCATGTTAAAGAAGGGTAGGACTTAATGCTTTGGTGGCAGCGGTGACAAGTCACCCTGAAATTACATCTTCATTTCTCATCTGCTCTCCAAAATACTCAGGTACTCCAAGGGCTCCATCCAGCCTGGGCTTGAACACTTCCCTGGCAGTGTTCCAGGCCAGGCTGGACAGGGCCCTGAGCACCCTGGTCTAGTGAAAGGTGTCCCTGCCCATGGCCCAGGGGTGGAATGAATGGTCTTTAAGGTCCCTTCCAACCAGTCAGGGATTCTGTGAAAAAGCATTAAGTTGATGTTTGTCCAGTAGATTCAACAAAACAAACTCACAAAAAGCCCCTGAAGGAGAATGCCCCAAGTCTGAGGGCAAGGCTGAGGTTTGCCCCCTCAATACAAAGATGTTCCCAGATCAACAGAATCATAGAATCAGCCAGGCTGGAAAGGACCTCTGAGATGACTTGATATTGGCCCCTAGAAATATTAAATCTGGTTTTATACTCTAGTTTAATGGCTCTTCTGTCCCCAGGTAGGGTTCCTGCCTACCTGGTAGCAGTCCAGCTGCATGACACCAGCTCTTCAACACAATTTATACCTGGAGAGCAAGATGCCAGTTCTTCCTTGGGCATTGAAAACACTTGTAGAGTTCTGCATTTCTAAAACAGGAGCTTTACCTGCAGGATGATCTGGGGAAGAAACATGGTGTAAATCCATCTGCATTGAGACCAGGCCTGTTAAATAGTTGAACAGTGTGATTCAAGAATGCCTTAGCAAGAAAGAAAATGAGAGAACTAAAGGAGAATATTGAGATTAAAAGCCTGTCTAGTGAATGCCTATTAATTAAAACATCCATTTCTTTGACTCTTTTCTGTGTAGAAAATTCCCTTCCATGCCTGGGGGGAGTGTTGCCTGTGCAGACATGGAGGGTGGGTCACCAGCTGCATTCCAGCTGCAGATGTGGCTGGAGTCAGTCTCCAGGAAAGGAATCTGCCAGTGAATGTCACACTCCTGCTTGCAGTGGAGTCAGCAATCCAGCAGTGGCCCTTTGTTTCTTGTAAGTAAGGCTTGAAAAGAAGCTGCACTTCCCAGAGGAGGTGCAAGGCAGATTTCTGGGTGTACTGAGATGCCTGAAGACAAGAGGAGACCTGGAAGTCCCCCTGTACCTGCTTTTGTGGGATGAAGGCAATGGAAATGAAGACAAAGGTGCTTTTTTGGAGATCCCGCTAGGTAAGAGGGTAAAACTCAGCTACACAAATACTTACAGGAGTTATAGTTTCAAAAATATATTCCCATTCTCGTGATGAAGTACATTGCCCTGCAGGACCAAGAAAAGGTATTTTTCCACCCAAGAACTTAGAAAAGACAATTAAAAAATGTGAAGATCACCTCTGTGAGCTCAAACCCAAGCAAAGTAGCTAGTTAATATCACTGATTATACTATTATTATTTTTGAGTGTTATTTTGAGTGTTTATCTATAAAAGCTTCAAGCAAACATTCATTAGTGGTTGTTGGGAAAACCACTCATGTACAAACCACTCAAAAGATGACTTCATCCTAGTCCTTTCTTTTCTTCTACAGGCATTGCAGTCCTTTCCCAGGAAAGGAGGGGGGGATGCAAATGCAAATTTCCACAAGAAATACCAAGGTAACCTGAGACCTGCTCTGCCCCTTACCTTGCCCAGCCCTGTGACTTCAGGACATGCTGCTCCTGAACTGAGCTGCCAGGTTTCATAATTATCAAGTGAGGGGATTGTAAAATGTCTTAGGTCCAGTAATTACGTTAAAAAAACCCTCCAAAAAACACAGCTTTGCCTCTGAAATACTCTTAACATCTGGAACATCTGGATACAGCTTGTTTGTTGGCTTCTAATACACCGAGTGGGAGCACTCTAATGAAAGTTGATTTTTGGGATTATGCTGGAGAAAACCTGAGAGGAAATTTAAAATTTACTTAAAACCCAGTCTATCCTGAAGTTTAACTGGGACAATGTTTGTAGTGTGCTACTTGCTGATTAAGGCTACCTACATGAGGCAGGAAAAATTTGCAAACTGATTATTTAGTATATGGTTTTAAAGAGATCATAAGAGGCAAAAAAAGATATTAAAAGAACAGAACTTTTTAAAATTAACTCTTGCTAGCACTTGGATGATCCATTATTCTCAATAACAGTGTTTTCAGATCTTTATTGAAATAGATAATTTCTGCTTTCAAACAGTAATCTATTTGAGGAATTAAAATTCTTCATAATTAATTTTAAGGAGAGAAGAAAAAACAACAGTTCATTTAAGAATGCACTGTTTTGTATTGCTTGACACTGAAAAGATAGTTTCTCCTTTACCTTCTCCATGAAACCTTACTCATGGTTTTATGCAGAAATTTTAGGGTAAACAGTCTCCCAGCATTCAGGTCTATGCAACCTCAAATTTAGGGAAAACACTCAATTTGGCATTTTCCTAATAACAAACATTTTTCCCTTAATTTCCATTGATGAGACTGTTCCTAACTAAGACGGTTTGTATCCTTATTCCTAATTATATTGACTAAATATTCAGGTGGCTTCTACTGCTCTCAAATGTTCCTTAGCTGATTTTCCTCTGTGCCTTCTACCCTGGAATTCAAAATAATGCAGCTCAAAGCTTTACCAAGGGATAAAGAGTGAAGTATTTGATCCAGCAGTGGAACATCAGCTTCCTGCTGTCACAGAATCCCAGAATGTGCTGGGTTGGAAGGGACCCACAAGGATCATCCAGTCCAACCCCTGGCCCTGCACAGGCCCATCCCCAGAGTCACCCCCTGTGCCCCAGAGGAGAGCTCTGGCAGCCTTGGGGCTGTGCCCACTGCCCTGGGGAGCCTGGGCAGTGCCCAACCAGCCTCTGGGGGAAGAACCTTTGGCTGAGATCCAACGTGAGCCTGCCCTGACACAGCTCCAGCCATTCCCTGGCTGCTGTCCCTGGTCCCCCCAGAGCAGAGCTCAGTCCCTGCCCCTCCTCTGCCCCTGCCCAGGCAGCTGGAACTGCACTGAGGTCTCCCCTCAGTCTCCTCTGCTCCAGCTGAACACACCAAGTGCCCTCAGTGTCCTCACACGGCTTCAAATCAAGGCCCTTCCCCACCTCTGTTCCCTCCTTTGGACACTCTCTGATGGCTTCATATATTTCTTACATTGTGCCAGAGGTTTGCTGTGCTGCACAGCTGCTGCCAAAAAGCTGGGGTTCACACGTTCCTGACTCCAGAGGCTCTACCCTGAATAACAGGAGGGGTAACTGGGCAGCCTGAGAACAGTGTGAACGATCCAATTTTTGGCCACCATGTAATTTGTTTTTGAGCTGCAGGAACAAAACCACCTTAGTGGGTGAGGCCTGCTGGCTGTGTGCTGGGGCAGGTCACGGTGGCTGGCACCTTCTGCCATGCTGCTGGCAGTCCATCAGTGATGGTGGCACCTTCTACATGCCTCTGAATTGCACCTTCCTATAGGCTGCAAGGAAACTCCATGCCTGACACTGCATCACTGCTGGTGGTGTTTAGGGCTTATGGTTTTCTTAAGTTCCTGCTTTCAGTTCTGATATTAAAAAGGGAGGGAAGAGGAAAAGTTTGCATCTGTGACTTTTTGTGCTATATGGATGAAAGCCCAGGTGGTTGTTTTTTTCTTTAAATAACATAAGGAAATATACATATATCTTTGCTGATTGAATGTTCGCCTTCTGCAAGAAAACACTTGCTAAAAGCTTGTTCAGCCTTTAATTGGAACACAGGAGCATGGAATAGCTGAGAACACTTCTAGGAGCCATGGTGCAGAGGCTGCAGGCTCTTTCATTGCCTCAATGAAAGCCCAATGCTACAATTTGCAGTTGGGCTCCCAGGGGTGTGCACAGTCCCTCTGAGTCACCAGCAGTCCACAGCAGAACTGGAATTGCAGCCCAGG